AAGGGAGGGAGGGAGAGAGGGAGAAGAAGGGAGGGAGGGAAGAAGGGAGGGAGGGGAAGAAGGGAGGGAGGGAGGGAAGAAGGGAGGGAGGGAGGGAAGAAGGGAGGGAGAGATTATATAATTTTTAATTATTAATCATACATCTAAGAACGTTATTGGGAATAACTTATTTTACTAGTGTGATCATCTGCTCTCTATGGCGGATTTTTATGTTAGTCGTATAATTTTCGGTGACATTATTAATTAAATGTTGCCCAACTTATTTAAATGTGACCTTCGTTGCTCATTTACCTCTAGATGCAAAAACAAAACATATCAAGAACGTTATTAACACTGAAAAAAAAAATCTGTTTTCTTTTTAATCATAAACGTGTCGTGTGCTTGGTAGAGGTGCCGTGAACTGTACCTGTAGGATGCCTGTTATGTTCTACTCATCTCGCGATCCACCAGAGATTGCTTTGCGATTTACTGGTAAGTTACGATAGACGTTTTGGCCACCCTTGCCTTAGAGGACAGCCCGAGAACATTAAGTTGGGGACTGTGGTCGCCAACCCTAAGATGTGAGGACGGTACATTGATTGATTGATTGATTGATTGATTGATTGATTTCTCGGAAGTCATAAGGTCACGCTGAGGTCCTTCACAGGTGAAATCTAAATAAATATCTAAAATCTTTGAGGCGACTTAAGAAGACTTCCAGTACATTTTTTCTTACAGTGAGGTGAAGTATGTATCCCTGAACACATAAAACGCTCTTTCATGGTCAGTGGACTAAGTTTGTTGGCAAAAAGTACAAATAAATTTGATTTTATGGATGTTGTTACAGGTGGGTGTACGGATACAGGTGAGTGTGTGGATGCAGGTGAGTTTGTGGATACAGGTGGCACCATTATGGGCACTATTACCACGGTAGAGGTTCACCGCTGCGCCACTACTTATCATCTTTCTTCTGATTATACTGGAGCAGTAAACTGATGATTTATTATGAAATTATTTTGTCCATGTGGAGGAGAATTATATTAGGTTATCTCAAGAATGTGTGTGTGTGTGTGTGTGTGTGTGTGTGTGTGTGTGTGTGTGTATTTTGAAATGTATATTACAGTATATTCAATTAGTACATCTGGACGTAATTAAAAATAAAAAATACTCGACAGTCACCAGATAAATAGCAAACATTACCTAACTATAACTCTATGTACGTAACTGTGGTGGTTAGAGATGATGAGGTCAGTTGTGTATACATGAAGGTCCACAAGTGCTCTACCAAACATCAACATTTCCCATCTGCACAAACACACTTATCAATAATTGGTTGAAAAAGTGAATTTTTGGCCGAAAATCAGATGAAAAATGTATATGCGTTTTTATGCGTTGGAATTTTGATGCATAAGTAAAATTGTCCTCATATGAAGCTTAGACGAGTCATTCCTTACACAGAATCCATTTTTTTTCTTTATTAATATATTAATGGTGAAACGACTATGATGACATACATACACACACATATGCTAACAAAAATACACTGACATCATCATGGCGGTTAAAAAAATATATATCCGGTAACTTAAATAAAAATACTACAAGAGTTTACTTTTTTTACGTGTTTTTGGTGCGTTTTGTTGAGTTATAAAATCTGTAGATGGTTTACAGGGACGAAATCCTCTCCTCCCTGAGAAAGGTGTAAAAACACTACCCAAATTATATATGATGTTATAACGATATTAAGACAAACCCTCAAACATTGATTGAGTAATGTACAGTACACAGAGACAGTGAAGATATCCAGTGTACACGTGCAGGAATCACTTAGAGATTAGAGTCCAGGGGTGTCAAACATGCGGCCCGACACACTCTTGCATGCGGCCCGACACACTTTTGCATGCGGCCCGACACACTCTTGCATGCGGCCCGACACACTCTTGCATGCAGCCTACACGCATGCACACACTCTTGCATGCGGACACACTCTGCATGCACACACTCTTGCATGCAGTGCATGCGGCCCGACACACTCTTGCATGACACACTCTTGCATGCGGCCTATGCGGCCCGACACACTGTTGCATGCACATCTTATCTTGCATGCGGCCGACACACTCTTGCATGCGCCCGACACACTTTGCATGCGGCCGACACACTCTTGCATGCGGCCCGACACACTTTGCATGCGGCCGACACACTCTTGCATGCGGCCACACACTCTTGCATGTGACACACTCTTGGCGGCCCGACACACTCTTGCATGTGGCCGGCATATTCTGCATGCGGCCCGACACACTCTTGCATGCGGCCCGACACACTCTTGCATGCGGCCCGACACACTCTTGCATGCGGCCCGACACACTCTTGCATGCGGCCCGTGGCCCATGTGCTGCTCCAGCCTTACCTTGAGGAGCTAAAACTAAATAGTGAGTGTATCCCTCAGCTGAATAAAATAGTCCGCTGTTTCCTAGAACAATATACTCTGTCAACATCACCAATGAGCTCCAGTGTGATTCTGTGTTGAGGAACAAGTTTTCTAGTGTTGATGTTGGCACATTTTATCAATATTATGGACCAAATTATCCCAGGATTAAATGTTTTGCCTCAAAGATTATGTCAATGTTCGGAAGTACATATGTCTGTGAACAACTCTTTTCTGTGATGAACTTGAACAAGTCTCGGCTTCGGTCTCAAGTTACTGGTGTGCACCTTAATTCAATACTGAAGGTTGCTACAGCTCAGTCGTTAGTGCCAAACTTTGATACACTGGTCCATACCAAGAGGTGCCAATTATCAGGAAGCAGCAGTAGCAAACAATAAGATTGATCAAGGTAAGTAAACACTTGATTTGTTTGTTTTTAAAGGTTTCGCACGAGGGCAGACTAAATCCACCTTTCTTATTTTGTCGTACTACTAAGAGGTGATTGCGAAGTGCTCATAATTATGTTACATGGCCCGCATACTGTGTACTCATATTAAATCTGGCCCGCCTTGGTAAATGAGTTTGACATCCCTGGATTAGACATTCCAACTTATTTTGTCTGAAGGTTTGCGTTATGATGGTAACTGTTCGGGTGAAATAAGCTGGGGTGTCTAATATTCAGGTGATCACATACACAGTGCAGGTATACAATGTACAGTCGGGGTCAAAATCTTGAACACTTGACAGTATTTGGCATGTAAGTACCAGAAGATCTTAGGTATTAAGGGTGAGGGAGGTGGATAAGGGGGGGAATTAAGGGTGAGGGAGGTGGGTAAGGGGAAGAATTAAGGGTGAGGAAGGTGGGTAAGGGGAACAATTAAGGGTGAGGATGGTGGGTAAGGGGAACAATTAAGGATGAGGGATATGGGTAAGGGAAAGAATTAAGGTGAGGGAGGTGGGTAAGGGGAAGAATTAAGGGTGAAGGAGGTGGGTAAGGGGAAGAATTAAGGGTGAGGGAGGTGGGTAAGGGGAAGAATTAAGGGTGAGGGAGGTGGGTAAGGGGAAGAATTAAGGGTGAGGGAGGTGGGTAAGGGGAAGAATTAAGGGTGAGGGAGGTGGGTGGGGAAGAATTAAGGGTGAAGGAGGTGGGTAAGGGGAAGAATTAAGGGTGAGGGAGGTGGGTAAGGGGAAGAATTAAGGGTGAGGGAGGTGGGTAAGGGGAAGAATTAAGGGTGAAGGAGGTGGGTAAGGGGAAGAATTAGGGTGAGGGAAGTGGGGAAGGAGAAGGCAGAGGAGTATTTCATATTTGTAATTACGGTGACACAGGTGACAGGTGATGTGGATGATGGAGAGGAGGAAGTCTAATGATGGGATGGGGAGAGGGAGAGGATGGGGGGGCAGGTCAGGGTCGTTAGGGTATATAAGAGCGACGGGGATCAAGACCACATCATTCACTCTCAGCTCCAGCATTCAAAGCAACCATGAACCTGCTGACACTTCCCCTTCTGCTGACGGCGGCGCTGACGGTCAGTCATTTACACATCCTTCTGCTGACACATTCATAACTTTCACCTCTAGTTTACTCTTACTCCAGTTGCTGACTCTATTGACTAACCTCTTAACTTCTGCTGATAACTTTGCTGACTCTTACCATAACATAAGCTCGGTAAAGCTGTCATATGTATATGTATATCTCCACAGCAATTAGATCCATTGTGCATAACTACGCAGTAGAATTAATATAAAGATGTATAACCACGCAGTAATCATCATACAGATATACAGTACAACAATGCAGTAAAGTTATCACACTGATATATAACTACGCTATAATTAACATACATAAAAATAACTATACACTACGTAGAGACAGTGAATATGTAAAACAACGTCTCAAACTAAAGTGGGTCGCCGTAGGTCGTGGAGTGCCGCAGCCCTGACAACACCCTGCGACATGAGAGCGAGGAAATGGTAATGAATACGGGAGTGCGCCTGTCCCTCACCTACCCGGACGCGGCTCCTCCTCGCCTTCTCTGCCAACCCCTCCACGCCGCCGACCAGGCAAGTCACACGCCCCCCACGCCTTGTATGTGCTTTGTTAATGCTTCAAAACTTTTTCATTTATTTCATATGTTTGTTAATCCTAAACTGTGCAGTGCTATGTTGGCTGCACAGATTTTGAAGACAAGTGACACTGACAGTATTAAAAGGGTGTTGTTTGGTAATGTAAGTAAGTGCTGTATGCTAAAGCGCAGTGTTTTGTGGTAGTGTTACAGTCAGTGTTGTGAGGTAGTGTTACAGTCAGTGTTGTGAGGTAGTGTTACAGTCAGTGTTGTGTGGTAGTGTTACAGTCAGTGTTATGTGGTAGTGTTACAGTCAGTGTTGTGTGGTAGTGTTACAGTCAGTGTTGTGTGGTAGTGTTACAGTCAGTGTTGTGTGGTAGTGTTACAGTCAGTGTTGTGTGGTAGTGTTACAGTCAGTGTTGTGAGGTAGTGTTACAGTCAGTGTTGTGTGGTAGTGTTACAGTCAGTGTTGTGAGGTAGTGTTACAGTCAGTGTTGTGTGGTAGTGTTACAGTCAGTGTTGTGAGGTAGTGTAGCCCGCCTTCAGGAGCAGTTCGGCCTCATGGTGCGTCTGGACTACAAGGACGGACAGCTCAGAAGCTGCCGCCTCGTGCCTGCTGTCACCAGTCAGTTGCCACTCTTGTGTTCGAAGCATAATGACCATTATTGCTTATGTGTATAAATAATTCTCTATATTGTTAGTAAAATAAGGTATCAGCTATATATAGTGACTTACAGTGAGTTGCGGCTCATCACAGTTTATTGTCGTTTTATCAAGGGTCTGAGGACTTGAACCCCTCATGGTGCATGGTGCCACCTACGGCCACCACCGCCTTCGTCTGCCCCCCCGGCTGGCACCTGATTGAGTCTACCTGTTTCATGTTGACCAACTACTCGGGCACTTGGTTCGAGGGACAAGAATTTTGCAACTCTGAGGGCGGGACTCTGGCGACCGTGTCCAGCGAGGTGCAGCAAGCGGAGCTTATGTGTGAGTGTTGTTCCTCTACTGAAGCTATAGTTCATGACACAGAGGTTACACCATAATGGCACTGCCTGACACAACACATATCTTCTTTAATTACAGGTCATAGCACGATGCTTCAGTTGAACTATAACAGTTTATGACACACTGTAATCGTTTCACAATGGCTGTAATGTCACAATAAAACACAGCAATAGGTCCAGGCACCATGTAAGTCGACCACATACACTCATACTCCTGTCACTATATATAACAACCCACGGCCCGTCAAGCACTTGTGTCCTTTGAACGAATGAGTAAATAAACGTAAATATTAACGCCAGGCTTCCCTGTTGGGCGTTGTAAACGTATTGGATGCAAGGGTGTGCTCAATAAACTAGCCCCACGCGGGGAGGGGGGAGTAAATCAGTATCTTAACCCCGGCCACACTAACACTCTTCTCCCGGCCGCCACAGTGATGCTGATTGGGGACACGTGGATCGGCCTGACTGACTTGAAGGAAGATCACAGCTATGTCTGGGCGGACGGCAGCTCCAACAACTACACCAGGTGAGGCTCACACACAGGATACTGACAGTACACTGAGTAGTATATTGTGCGGTGGTCCCGGTGGAGAAGACAACACTTAGTGTTTTGTCTCTGTCAGTAAGAAGCGGATACCTAAACTAAACTAAACTAAATATACATTGTTAGATTAAAGATCCATGTGATAAATAAATATACCGCTCCACTACGTTTTGCAAGTTAGTTTACACTAATATATATACTGTATAAAGTTACAAGAGTAAGCAGTGTGAGACTGTCCATTAACACTAAACTCACTCTACCTCGCACCACCAGCTGGGCAAGTGGTGAACCTAGCAACTCAGGCACTTTGTGGGTGTTCGGTGAAAGTGAGAGCTGTGTTGAGATGAGGCAAAAATCCTTCTACTTGTGGAACGACGCCCATTGTGACGACAACAAGCAGTAAGTCCTTGATGTGTTCATGTCTAACACAAAAGCCATTAGGTTAATAATATCCAGCTGACAAACTGTTACCTTCTCTTAGGTTCCTGTGCAGCGTCCCCGCAGACCCTGCTCCTACTACAACCACAACCACTACTACCACTACTACCACCACTACCACCACCACAACTCCGGCGCCTACCTGCGAAGAAGGGTGGGAGATGTACGAATTGTCTTGTTACCTCATCAGTGACGCCGGTGTTTCATGGAGGGACGCCCAGGCCAGTTGTAATGAGGTGGGGGCCTCCCTGGCCTCCGTCACCAGTGAAGGGGAGCAAAGGTTCCTTACAGGTGAGTCTTCAACTTCTGGTTAGCTGTCCTCAGCTGGCAGCCTTTCGGGTCTTCCACAGGGAAGAGAAACACCGGTTCTTTAGTGTAGAGACTAAGGATGTGTCGAGGTGTTCACAGTGTAGATGTCCATAACCAAATATACCATATTTTCTCCTCCTTCCACAAATATAATAAGCGAATAAATACACAAGCTCTCCTCCCCTACCTCTACTCCTCATCACCACAACCTGCCTTATAACCATCACTTGTGATTTTCACCCTTCATTATCACTTCAGCCCTCAATACTTGCCATCACCTCCGGCCCTCACCCCTCACCATCACCTCCGGCCCTTACCCCTCACCATCACCCCGGCACTCACCCCTCACTATCATCAGCACGGCCCTCACCCATCACGATCACCTCCAGCCCTCACCCTTCACCACGGCCCTAAACCCTCACCATATATTCCGGCAGGGATACTCAGGAGGAGCTCCTGGATCGGCCTCAGTGATCTGGATAGCGAGGGAGCTTTCACCTGGGAGGACAGCAGCCCCCTGGACTTCACCAGGTGAGTTATTCATGTACAGTACAGGTGAGTTATGTTGTGGAAGGTGATTCATATTATGTACAGGTGAATTATGTGGTGGAAGGTGATTCATGTGGCGGCAGGTGAGTCATGTAAATACAGGTGAGATATTATGTTATCTACGGGTGAGTCACATAACCTCTTACGTCAGACAGCCTTCTCCTACACATGATGTGTCCCGTTACACGAGAAGTTATAAAAACAATCAGTTGTCAGACAAAAGTCCGCTTTTCTTATTTTTGCTGTACCAGTCAGCTCTGTGAATGCTATTCTTATTGACTGACTGAATGTCTGACACCATAACTCAAAGAACACCATTTTGTGTGGTTCAAGCCACACTGTCTGGCCACGTCTGCCTGGCCCATACTAGCCAGTCCATCTTGACACAAGTCCTCATTAATTCTTGGTCACTCTTGTTTGTTAAAGGACAGACGGAGTGATTTTAACTGTCGTAAATAAATGAATACGTCATATGAAAATAATGATCTAATTAAATATATCCACAGTGTCTTATGTTAATTATTCATTCGTTATTATTTAAGTTAACATCAGTTTTCATAACTACACAAAAGATAAAAATAAATATGAACCACATATCCTTCACCTGATATGTCCCGAAAGCTTCATCATTCTATATGCTTTGTATATAACATTTGGTAAGTTATTCCATAATATATATAATGTTCTTTGTAAGACTAATTCTTCCGTTTTCTGTAACACTCAGTTGGCATGATGGAGAACCCAGCAACTCTTATGAATTCCTTGGTGAAGGTGAAAACTGTGTTGAAATGAGGAAGAACTTTGGCTACCTCTGGAATGATGAATACTGCTCATCAGAGAACGGGTAAGTATAACATCCTAAGTAACTCATCAAGTATAACAATCCCCGGTTAGTCGAGTAATTATATACAGTATAAAAGTGTATATGTTATTTTTTTTCATCTTCTAAGTTTCTTGTTTTATAATTCCTCCAAGTTGTATAAATATTCATATGATTTTTTAAAGCTGGTGAAGTGAGTCAATGGTATAAATACTGAGCAGTAATACAAAATAATACCAAGTTGGCAGAAATGGAACAATTATCATACAGGTGTGTTTCATATGTGGAAAAATAATGTAGAAAGAGACGTGAAGAAAGAATTATAAGAGAAAGAGAGTAGATAAAAATGGTGACATTTACTATCCTGTCACTGGAGGAGGAAAACACTTTAATGGGACTAACTCCAGCAGCAGCTGTCCTGGGTGTAGTGAAGCCCTTCTGCAGGTGAGACACTTAGTTTATAATTACATACACCACATGTATAAACTCTGTTCACAAAGTTTTATGCGGGTCATCCAGGTGAGACTCAACACAGGTTCATACAGCTTTAGTTGACCAACACTACAGGATAAAAAAGGTAAGTAAAGTCATCAAGAGTGACCTCACGAGGCTGATTGAGACATTGAGTAACATTATTTCTTCTCCCCAGGTTCATCTGTGAGCGACCAGCCCAGTAGACTACAGCTACCTCCACCACAGTAACAGTCTGAGCTACAACACATTAACAGCATCTGGTTACAACTAACAATAGAAGCATTATTAAGACATTATTAAGGTTTATGTGTGAACTGAATGTACTATAAACAAGTTGTGGTCTGCTTATTGTTTGGTGACAGCTACATCTAAGAAATGCTACTTTCACAAGTTTTAAAAAGTTTATAAAACTAATGAAGAAATAAACATGAAGCATCAATTATGTTTTATTGCCATGACAGGGTTAAGCAACTTGTAGCTGGGTTGGTAACAATTGACTGTGCTGCTTTCAGTGACTGGTCTGTCACGACACATGAGATCTTATCTTTATCTACAGATACCAAGAAAGTATTAGGTGATCAATATGTGTTATTCTACTATGAGTTTTATATAAGGTGTCTATAATGTTCTGGTGCCCCGGTGTTTTATTGTGGACACTGTATAAACATCGGTGTGACAGGACTTTGCAAAACACCATGCATTATTCGTGGAATATTTGTGTCGTGACTAACTAACTGTCTGACTGTATCACCTAAATTATATTTTGACTGGCCTAAGACACACTGCCTGACCACCTTCAACTGGCCTACACTGGCACAAAGGTGTGATAACAGGATAGGGAAGAATGTGAAGGTTCCAAGTGTTCCCTGAAGAATGCAGTGATGTGTCATCCTTCACCTACAGCGACGGACATTGCAACAGGGGGGCAATAAGAATGAGTGGCGGCAATCGCCTTATGGGCGATTAACGGCGGCAGGGGGGCAATAAGAATGAATGGCAGCAATCGGCGATTATCGGCGGCAGGGGGGCGATATGAATAAGTGGCGGTAATCGCCTTACAGGCAATTAACGGCGGCAGGAAGGCGATAAGAATGAGTGGCGGTAATCGCCTTATGGGCGATTAACGGCGGCAGGGGGGCGATAAGAATGAGTGGCAGCAATCGCCCTTCAGCAATTATAAAACCTGTACAAGTAACTAAAGTGCTATACAGTATACTGGAAAAAATAAGCAACAATTATACAATAATAAGCTTTATTTCTTTTTTAAAGATGAAAAAGGTTTTCTCAGTACATATAATACAACATTAATATCCATACAAGTAATTATTTGTGTATCTATTATACATTTTGGTGAGTCACACGATGGGTGGGTCATAGACTGAATCACATTGTATCTTCACAGAAAAGTTTTCGCTGTTTCCCAGCCTTTTTCTTTAGCACATTGGCTTTTTTATGCCAGGAACTATGTAAGCACGGTGAGCCAATCACCTGTTTATGTTGGGGGCATCTGCAGTTAAACATACAGTACAGTATCTTCCTTTTTGTCCATATTAGCTTGCCGTCATGATTTATATCTAGAAAAGTAGGGTGACGGTAAAATAAACTTCACATAGATATAAATATTTTATATAGATAGCATTAACATTATTTTTTTACCATATGTACATTCCTTATTATTTATAATTTTCCTATTAATGCAAAATTGCATCCCTATGAGTAGATTTGTGTAACATAATGGCATTAAGAGTTAATATAGTATGAGTATTGCAGGAATCTGACTGATCATTGTCTCCACAACACTACAAACACTGGTGTGTAGACATAGAAAAACAATTTAATTCTTTCCATTGGTTATTTATTGATGATTGCATAGAAAGCTATCAAAATCATATAACTGTATAATTATGATATTACTACTGTATTGTAGTACAGTTACTGTACTAATATTAAGTCGCAAATATCACCTAATCTCAGCTTCTCCTTGAGCATTGAATTTACTGACAAAGATGCCCCATAAAAAAAAATACATGAAATATATTATATACAACTGTGGATGATGACAGCCAAACAGATGGTAATTTAGCAAGTTAAAGTGAAGATTATGATAATGAATATGATGAATATTATTTGCATTATCATCTGTGATGATTATGTAACAATAAGATAATGATTGTGTAAGATACATGAGATGATATCCTGTAGTGAATAATAATTATAACAATGATTACAAGATCATGATACAGTACTCTCAACCATAACCATAAATAAAAATAATGATGCTCCTGCTTCTCCAACTATACAGTACTGTAGTAACAAAGTTGTGTTCATGATATAAATTCCAACAAAAGTATCTAAAAACCACTGAAAGGCTGCTTTTATATTCCCAGATCTTTAATACCTTATAGTAGTAATACAGTACTATTTGTAATTAATTTTACCACTGAATCCCATTGGTATCATTGAACACATGGCCTAAACTGATCATGATATTATGATAAGTCATTATGTCATATTGATAGTGAACAACCTCAGTTGTCCTGCTTTGTTGATAATTAAAAATCTTTGCTGATATGCTGTTGATTGTTTAGAATCTGTGCTCTAAAGTACTTCTCTGTTGATGGCTAAGAATCTGCTGTAATGCTATACTGATACAGTACAGGGTAATTAAGAATCTCTGCTGTAATGCTCTGTTGATTGATAAGAATATGAGCTGCAGTGCTGTTGATGCAAAAGAATCTATTTTAATGTTATAATGACATACTAATGGCTACAAGTCTCTAAATTTCAACTGTAATGTTGTGTTGGAAGCTAAGTCACTTTTATATACAGTGGAGGCATTTGAAGTGTAACAGCAGTACTGTATACTTATAAGTTTCTGATTTATTTTTGTTAGTGAGATTTTGTTCTTTGTGATATATAGTACAGGTATTGGTAACTGTGAGTAACTCCTGTAATATTACATGTTAATACTGATAGGTAAGAGTATTGCTCTGTTGTGATATTGTTGATAGTTATGAGTTGACTGAAGGTATATGACACGTGGGAGTCTGATGTAGAGTTAGAATTAAAGATTACTGTAAATAAATTTTAAGATCCATGAGTTATAATGTGACTTTGACAGCTGAGAGTCTTCACCGTAATATCATCTTGACAATTACTCCTTCCTAAGCACGACAAATACTTTCTCTAGCAAAGAAATATCAATAATTATTTACAAAAGATTTCATCACATTTAAATAGCAAACTGATGTTACAGCAATTAATTTCAAATGTAAAAGAGCAAATGGATAAAACTGCAATTTATTGGTTCATTTAAATGTTAGGGAAGAAATCTGTATTCCTGAAAGTAGATTCTCAGAGGAGGTATTCTAAGCCATTCAATAAATCAGTCCTGTAGCAGAACAATAACAATGCATTCAAAATATCTTCATCGTTAAACTATCCAAATATATCTTCTTTTGTCAATGGCTGTTCGTGTCCACATAGTTCCTGACTTTGGTTTATATATATACAGTATACTACACTTGCCTGAGCAAAATCTTCATGAATCTTCTGCCTAACTACTGCAAAAGAAATATTCAATATCTTCTTAGTTTTGGCTGTCCAATTTATGGTGTAGAAATAATAAAAAATAATAAAAAATAATAAAATGATGAGGAACTTCTACAAGACATGATAGAATTATAAGATGGTTCATTATGAAATTGATAAATATAGTCAAACTTTTAAGACTTATTGATATTTTCTTTTTACAGGAAATCAACCAGGAAGATGCCTATTTTCTGAAGCAGTTATATAACTTGTACAGGAAATTATAAATCTGCTGTCAAAAAGTTACTGATACTCTGAAACTTTATAAATACAGGTAGAGAATTGTGAATTTTTTAAAATGAACGTACTGTAGTATGTATACGAATTTCAACTAAATTTCCATCTTAACAGCTGAAAAGACTTAGAGAAGTGTTTCTGCAAAGCAATGAAAAAGTGACAAATGCAACATGTACAGAGATTTTCAGAGCAGGATGCACACTTCTATGAAACACTTACATATTTTGTCACAAAATCTGGCACAAAAACACATGGTATCTGACACACTATACCAAGATCAAGTGAGAAAAAAAAATTCACAGATGAGTATGGTATACAATAAGAAATAACACACACTAGTAAAGAAAAATTATCATTACAACTGACACCGGATTTTTCTATGTAAATTTTACTCTCCATGTACAGTGCATTATTCTAATTCTGAAATAACTTGTTGCTTGTGTATCCATAATTTGTGCCACCTCTTACCTGCTTAAGTATCTCTATGCATATTACATTTGAGAAACATCACATCAATCTTGGTAAACTTGTCACATCACCTGAGCTTTAACTATCATATACAATTTACCAAAACAAAAAGTTAAATAATATTTATCACTTGACTCTCATGCTCTGATATTTGGAATCTTACTCTGAGGCAAAGGAAAAATTCCCGGCTTAGTGTTTAAGTTCCGATTACAGAATGTGGTGAGAAGATTCTTTCAGATGACCAGGGTTCACCTGAACTCAGTAATATCCATAGAATAAATAAAATATACTAGGTACTCGCCTAAAGTGAATTTTAATAATGGAATGAAAATTTGGATAATCTCAGTTCTGGTGTGGCCACATTGTCAAGAAAATCCCACCATATTGAAACCTACTGGTATTTTCATCTACTGTAGTTCACATTGTAAGATTCCACATTTCAGTTCCAACTTTTAAAGTACTCATTACAACATGATGCAAAAGTTGGTATTATGAGAAGTCCTCATATATAACTCCATGGTCTCATAAGTCATCCTCTTCACTATCAATTCTCTCACTATGAGCTGAAACATACAAAGGCACCAACACAAAGGACTCTCCTGAGACATAGTGATAGCATCTAGAGCTTCTCAATGGGTAATTCACTTATAGGAATGTTGAGTGAGTGGTCATACAGGCTTTATATGTTGGCACTTCATCGCCAAGGGCATATGACCACAAAATTAAGAGCATAGGATGCATATTTACATATGCAAAAAAAAATATATATATATATATATATACAGTATATATATATATATATATATATATATATATATATATATATATATATATATATATATATATATATATATATATATATATATATATATATATATATATATATATCCATCTTGCATTACTTGAACAAGGATTATCAACAGTGGCCATTGTGTCATTCACTAAACCACAGTTGTTGTCACACACATGAATGTAATGGAACTGATGGTCAAATATTATTATTTCTTTTCCAAATCAATTAAATTTTGTCTCCTTGCTATATATATATATATATATATATATATATATATATATATATATATATATATATATATATATATATATATATATATATATATATATATATATATATATATATATATATATATATATATATATCCTTACAACTAATAGTTACAGAATAAAAAAACAGAGACAACTGCTTGGCATTGTAATGACATAGCTAAGCCTCTGAGGTGAGTTACACAGCTTTACAGTTTAAGACTGTGTAGTGGATCAGCACCCCTTCTCATGGCACAATTGCTTTTGATACAGATGATTTCACTCCCAGTAACTTAGTGTTGACAGCATAACAATATATCTATCAGAATTTGCACTACAGAAAACTTAGAAGGCATGAGAAGAAATGGAATCAGCATTATAAAATGTAAGACCCGTTTCTCTGTTCACTGACACAGGAGCTAAAATTGTAACTGAGTTCAAGTTGTGACTGTTTGGTGGCTAAATAAGACTCACTTGAAGTATAATTAATAAATAAAAGCCAGCACAAGTAGTTCTACAATAGATCTTTTCTTGTACAGTATATATATATATATATATATATATATATATATATATATATATATATATATATATATATATATATATATATATATATATATATATATATATATATATATATATATATATATATATATCATGTAAATCCACAATGAAAACGTGGATAAGTTGCCTCTGAAGATGTCTTGAATAAAGGCGAAAGCTAAGGTACTCCGTTGTTTCCATTTTCCGTGTGATTTTATCAAGATATATATATATATATATATATATATATATAGAGAGAGAGAGAGAGAGAGAGAGAGAGAGAGAGAGAGAGAGAGAGAGATAGCAAAAACAATATTTTTCATACCAATAACAACTATGGTTAAATGAACCTGATAATGTCTTGTATGTGTCACTAAGCTTGGCACAACCACAGCCTTAGCCTTTGTTCAGCATCTTCCTCTTATCCTCCATTGGAATAGTTCATTATGTTCTCCACAGTTAATGTAATTGATTAAGCAATGCTTAGCAGGACACCAATTCTGTGATGTTGTTAACTGAACAGATTCTCTACCCATAAGTTTTTCTAAAAGACACATAACTTAAAAACACAGTTTATTCAGTCTTTGCATTCCGTATGTGTTATTGAGCTGTACTGATATCCTAACATCACTTTTTTACTATGCATATGCATTGCATAGCACTGCTCTTCAGCACACTGTACCAGTAGACTTGTTGCTTTTATGTATTACCATGGAAAACTCGTTATTCCATGGATGAGTTTCATTTAAGAGTCATAAATGCTATCCATGGCCACAGTTTTGGGGACAAATATATACCGGTAGCTGTCTCTTCCACACACTTAGTAAACAATCATCACAATGTTGCATCTGCTAGGAGTTGGTCATATTTTCTTGCTCAACACACCTTTTCAGTTTCAATCTGTTCAATGCAAAACAAAATAATGCTCTATATTTTTCATATCACTTGATCCATGCAGTTCCGGACAACACGTATGTTTTCCATTTTATTGTCTTACTTTTGAGATGATGTAGATAGTACACAAGAGCACACACTTTCTTATGTACCACTCGAAGACTTTTAACTTGTTCTAGGAACCATTACATGTATTCTGGAGATCTCCAGATTTACTATTTTGACTTTAATCTTGAGAAATCATTTCCTGGATATAATTATATAGTTTGTATACAAAGCACAGAAAGCCTCGTGTAATCACAATTTAACCGAGCCTACACATGTAGGGTCCTGTCTCTACACATAAATGTGTGCATAACAAGGAGTATGAATACATGGGTTAGTCATTTACAATAATAAACAAAATTCATTAGACAAATCTGGATCACATTTCATTTTTTTACCTACTATTTCTTTGTTACATTTAAAATACTAAAAACAAACAAGGCTCTGGTTATTCCAACTATGTCACTGTAGAAAAAAAATAGACATCATAACAAAGATCCAATCTCCTGTGATGACCTGCATCTTTTAGTGTTGTTTTTTCTGTATTACTGTATCGTACTTAATTACAATCAATCACTGGCAAGATCTTTGGATCTGGGAAAGATATTTGAAGGTTGTAAACTTAATATAGCAACTGGCAGTTTTTTAAGCATTTTTATCATCTCAGATACTGTACATTTGTGTAAAGTAAAAAGGTTGAGAGCACAGTTGCCATGCCTTGATACGAGTCAACAGGTCTCTCCTCCCTCACAGTGTGGAAGCAATCAGGTTAGATAAATCACAGCCTTGTATGATACAGCATAGTTGCTCAATCGTATCCCATACCACCTGTTTCCCCTCACCAAAGAACTGAAGAAAATCCTTCACCTCTATTTATTTTGTGTAAGTTTAGCTTAGTATTAGAACATACTATAGAAATCTGAGCATTATATAAATCGAGACTGGAATTAATTTGTGGGATATTTCCTATTTAGAATTAATGCTACTTTGGGCGATGAAGAAATCTGAGCATTATATAGGTTAAAAGACGTACTACAATCATGAATCCAATTAGGATGACGGTATTTAACCAAATAGGAAGAGTTTCCCCTCTTTCTGCCAGGATCTCTTCTATAGGAATTGGATGAGAATCTGCTTCATTATTTGAAACTTCAACACAGCTGTTGAAGCGTGAGTGTTCCATTGAGCAACTGAGAAAAGAGAAAATACAAACTGTTATACTGTATAGTATCTTTGAGGTAACATTTTATTGCAGTTTATATTTCAGAGAGTCTATCCCTATGACTTAGTCTACTATAGAAGCAATACAACAAGACTACTCGAGAGATTAATTTTATTCTCATTTAGTATAGTTCTTTCCTTAGACTACAAAAACACAGCACATCCAGTGAAAGTCTGCCACACATTCTGGTTCTGAAAAATCCCTCTCTCCTACCATCTCTTTTTTTTGTGTCTGTCTTAGAAAAGACATTCACCTCATATGTAATAAAAGGAAACTTAAATGATGGCTGTTCAACCCATGTAGGAGAGCTGCTGTTCAACATTGTGTCCCAGCAGCTCAGAAGAAAGTCAACAACTAATACATATGGGAATGTTTCTATGTGAAAAAAGCCTCCTTGATATAAAGACATACTGTACATATACATAATAAATCTGTCTGAAATTCAATAACTGACCCATACAAGTTTGGAAAATGGCCTGAAAATGATGGACCTTGACTTTTCTAACAGTAGCTACAAATCAGTGTAAACTACTGCAGGGCAGCTCCTCTCTCATCAAAACAAGGTCATATCAGTTTGATATCTTATCTCATCACTAGAATTTAAGGATCGGAGTGCTTCTTTTTTGCACATTGTACAAAATGTGGTTTAACCAAATATCTTTACTGAGTGGGGCAATAAGATGAGAGTGAATTATTGTTCTATATAAGGCTGCCACATACTCAGACATAGAAAAATCCTCAGGAAAATTTAAAATATTAATGGAAATAGATGATTACAGTACTATACTAGTTTGGTGTAATATAAATTACTATTTGTTAGTTTTTGTACACAAAATGTAAGATTTACACAAGCATGTGGATGTCTTCCATTTCTATTTCCTCCTCCAGACAGGAGGAATAGGACCAAAATAATGTACAGTACAGTATAGTCTGCATTTACGCGGCTTTAGTTTACGCGTTTGGTCATTTACGCGGTGCCTTGCAAGAATGAAAATGCTTTAATTACGCAGTAAATTTGGTCATTTACACGACAAGCAGCTGGAGAGGTCCAGACCGCCGCGCCATTTTTTACCCACGCGGTCCATTCTTGACCATACGCGGGAAGCGGCGTGGTGAGTGGTGTGCATTAGGCCGCTCTTACGTTATCGCTGACGTCATATGACGTATCAGACTGTGATTGGGCCACGCATCCTTACCTCCCTCCGCCGCTAGCTGTGATTGGTCTAATGTAACATGACGTGCCCTGCCACCAGAGGGTAGAAGTCGCTGACCTAGCAGGGCCTGTCTCATTGTTCTCAGTCCGCGTATACAGTTCTCTCTTGTGCCCGCTATTCCCCTCACAACTCACAATGGCTTCCGCGGGACCCCCACCACCAGAGAAAAACATTGAATTACCTGGACCAAGCCATGATAATGTGAAGGAAATCATCGAGTTGGGGGAGAAACTTAAGCTCATCCTTGACAACGACCCAGACAAGCATCGGTATGAAGTGTCTAATAACCATCTGACGAAAGCAGAGGAGCCGTATATCCAGATCTATCTCGACATCATCAATGCTAGTAATCAACGTAGTATTGAGGACTTCCTCGCCCACAACCCACCACAACCAAAGCCAGCCCAAGTCAGTGAAAATGATATTGACAGTGAGGATATGGACTTTGAGAGGTTTGTCTGGGAGGCCCTGCAAACCTCTGCGAGTAGTGAAAGTGAAAGTGATTCACCGGAGGGCAATTAATCTGCCCTCTGCCTCGGAACCAGCCACCATCCACGTGTGCCGACCCAGCTTTTTTACTAACGTAATTGTTAAAAAGCCTAATATTATTGATATTTCTCTTAATTATCAATTGTGTGTGCATACCATCATAAAATTAAGATGTTATTTTTACTACAAGGTATGTATTGTGTCGGAAAAAGTGGAGTTTGGGGGTCGGCCCAGTCTCTATTTCAATTAATCCCATATGTTCTGTTATTTCATTTATGCGTTTCTCGTTTTACGCGGTACCCGACGGGTTCAATTGACCGCGTAAATGCAGACTATACTGTACTCTTAAACAATGACAAAATGTCAAAATAAATAACATGAAAATATTATAAGTAATACAATAGTGTTTCCTTACCTTATTTCCTTCCCATATGTGAACTGGATTATATTCATGTTTTGGAAAGCATAATGAACCATGGATAAGTACTTTGCCCAAGCAAGCCATGGTGGAATTCGATTGGCAAGGTATCCTCCAAATAACTGTGTGAAAAGCGTGAAGATTGCTGCGATGGTAATACCAACTTGTAGGTCATAGCACACTGCACCTATGAGAAGCCCAACACTCTGGAAATATAAATACTTATTTAGAGAGGCATGCAACATAAGCAGCAAGAAATTCATCAGTAAAAATATTAATCTTTGCTGTTGAGTTTTTGGTAATTAGTCAAAATATCTGAAGATGATTTACAATAAGACACTGTACATGTACCGTAATAAGAAAATAAGAAAAAAATAATATGATAAAGACAGGCAGAGGCAGTTCCAAGAGAGTTTCCAAGTAGCCAAAAATAATCTACCTTAAAAATATTTACAATGCTTAACAAGTTATGCTGTAATTAGACTAATTTAAAATAACCATATGTATGGGTGCATTAGTCGATCTTGTTGAAAAGTCAATCCCCAGCTTTTGCCAAAAAATCTTGAATTTTTCATATCCGTACCCTGTATCTTATGAATAAATTGACCTTAGCTTAAGAAGGTATACCAGTAAGCCTAGTGGAGCATATCTGGAGTTAACAGATGACTACTCCACTAGAGGCCACAGCTAAAGAAGCTCACAGTACAGGTAAAGAAAGCTTACAGAGCTAACTTCTTTAGAGTAAGAGTTGTGAACTCTTGGAATAACCTGACAGAGAATGTTGTGACAGCACAAGTGTGAGCTCCTTAAGTCCAGACTTGACCAACACTGGAACATGTTCAAGTGCCTGTATATCTCCATTGTTGCTAATACAGTAGTGTGTCAATGAAAATTGACTGACTACCTGACCAACTAGTGAGCTGACAAGTGATGAAGATGATATAAAGTAAAATTAAAGTGGATTTAATTTACGAGCATAAATTAGCCATAGTAAGATCTCCTTGTAATGTTTATCCTTTGATTCCCTAAAATAATGTACAGGGACCTAAATAAAAAAAATCTGAGTGTCTGAGAAATTTAAGAAAAATAGAATGCTGTACATACTAATCCAATGTGTTTCTGAACAACTATATAGGTACTGAGCTTTATCTAGATGCTTTTATGTGTGTCTCATACATATAATTTGCCTAAAAACAAAAACACTCAATACCAAACAGTATAATATTCCCCAGCTGTATTGAAATAACAAGTGATCATTATTTAAAGAACATTTTCTAAACAAAAGAACATGAATTCTAGCCTAGAACAACATCAAAGTCTGTACCTGTGCAACTAGAGTATTGAGCAGTAGCATGAAGAGGAGCATAAACCCAGTGATGATGTTGTCCCAACCCATCATTGAATATGAGATAAAGAAGTATAAGGTTGGCAGCGTGAAGGTTAGCGGCAGTTCCCCTACCATCTTGGCTAAGTAGTAAGCACTCACTCGATAAGAGCCACTAGCACGTTCTTTTGTTATCACCTCACGCTCAGCCGGGACTGTAAATAGAGAAAAATGGTTAGAGTAGAACTGTACAGCTTAGTAGCCTGCCCCAACTGTGTCAGGCATAAATAAAAAAAGAAGAAACATCAATTTTTAGAAAAGTAACTATGGCTAAAATAAAAAAAATAAAAATGATTATCAGTATACAGTATACACTACCAAAGATTATTCTGAGGCAAAAGACATATATAACTATTTTTTTATATTCAAGTCACATACTTAAAAAGCATAAAATGTAGGTTGAGTATTACAAGTGAGAAACAACTGTTTACTAACATGATTGAAGTGCAGAAAATAATTTGAACAACATCCAATAATGGGTCGAGAAAAACATCCATCCCTGAATATCCTGAAGGCTTTCTTCTGTCCTTGGTGCCTGATACCACAGGAGTCCTGCGATTATAGCCAGAATCAATGTCTGTGCCCCATTGAGCCATGAGAGGATGATGGGACGAGCCACACAAAAGTTCCGTTGTGTCAATACCTAATTGAAAAACAAAGATAAGAGAATAAAAATCAGAAAACATAACTTTTCTTCCTCAAAATAATTCTATAAAACCATTGTTTATCAGTATGGAAAAAGCTATCAGACTTTAAAATCAATTAAAGATGTTAAATTCTTCGTACTAATATGAATCTAACCCAGAAATGTATTGTACCATAACAGTTAATGTACTGTACTTTACAGTTAAATTTCAAAACAGTACTCACTATTGACTTACTATAAGAAAAAATAAAACAAAGTATATTCTTATATATTACTTGAACTCAAAATTACATCCATCTCAAAACAAACCTTAAACTGAGTGAAAAATGATGTAGGCCACTGCACGTCTGTGTACTCTTCACACGGCGAGCTAGGCCCCGAGGCTTCACTCCTAGTCTCCTCTGACCATGATGACCTACCACTGTCTTCCTCCTCACCCACAACTGTTGGACATTATTCAAAATAAAATTTCCAAATTGCTGATGCTTTGAACATGATAGCCTAATACAGTACAGGGGGTCCCAGACTTACGAACGTCTGACTCATGAACAGGGTTAAACTTGAAATTTACAGTATTTTATTTACCTATTGACTTATTTTTTACTATAATTTACTGTATTTTGTCATTTTAGTTCTTTTCACTTAAATTAAGTGATTCTAGATGTATATAAGGACTTAGGCTCTGATATACTGTATAGGGATTAAACATTGTTCTGTAAGTACGGTATGCACAAAGCATGTGTTCCGACTTTCGTACATATCCGAATTAAGAATGTCCTCAAGAACAGAACCCATTCATAACCCGGGGACCCCCTGTATATTGATTGAGGATCAATTTGATGTAAAGTTGATTAGTGATTTAATTTATTTGAAATTGGAAATTCTGGAAAAGTTGCAGAAATCTTGAAAGTATCAAACAACATAGGTGGGTCAGTGGTGACCAAATTGACTTGTACAGTAACAACCACGATGGAATATATCATTAGTATTTACAAGGGTAATGGAAAGGATAAAAAGCTGTACTTCATATTTGTAAACTTTGAGAAAGAATTTAACAGGGTACCAGGTGAAATAGTAAAGGGGCATTGAGAAAGCTAAGGTCAAGGAGTGCCATGTTTGGTTAGGTATGTGAAGGATCAAAAACTGCTGAGAGTAAATGGTGAGGCAGGAGAGGAGTCTGAGGTGATATAATGGTTCATCAAGGGTCTGTCTTGAACCCCCTTCTGTCTAATGTGGTACTGGAGACAGTATCACCAGACTTTAGGACTGATCTGCCCTGGGAGTTATTTATGTTGATGACTTGGTGCTGTGATAGCAAATGATATTAAAGAGGCAGCAGAGAAACTTAAGAAATAAAAAGAGGTTGGCAGCAGCAATATAGCAGGGCACAACTCCTACATGGTACAGTACAGTACAGTACATACGATCAGCCTTAAGAATGGACAGGCAATAGTTCTAGCATTAATATATATTTTGAATATATACCGGTTTTTCCTAATCATTATAGAAACAAAATCTTACCTATTTTATTGTAGATTGGAGATTCTTTTTTATCTATATCTATAGTGACAGAAACATCAGTTGGACATTTTTGTTGAATATGTTGGCATTGTTGTTGGCATGCTGTACACTTGTTGTTCCAAGGAAACTGGTTATTGTCTATACCTGCAAGAATATAACTATGTATAAATCCTTAACTGAAGAATAAATATACTTTCTCCAGGCAGTTACTTCAGAATCAGATACATTATAGTATATGAATAGAGACTCATTAGCATTTTGAAGGTACTCCTAAAGCTGGGAGTATTACAGGAAGACTAGGAGGAGAGTAAAGAGATTGGTGAAAGACTGCAAAAGATGAGATTTAAGCAGAGGAAGATAAATAGGGTGAGATAATCAAGACAACAAATGAAAATAGCAGTAAAGAATGAAGGACATGATATATTGCAGAAAAACACAGGAAATAGATGAGAAAGATATAATTTTGTATTTAATAACTATAATCTGTACAATATAATGTAGCCTTAGTATTTGTGAAAAATTCAACATACTTAGTACTATATTTTGGTGGTAAGAGAGTAACATATATTCTTTACTGTAACAGATTTTTAACCACATCTTTTTGTGTTGTGAGCAAAAAACATATATAAGTGGGTAAGTGAGAGAGGATCCATATATTGCCTGTCAATGGCTCATGTAGCTTAGTCATAACTCATTTTTTTTTCAGAGTGTGTATTTTTATTTACCATTTTGTTCTGTTCAAAGTTATGTTTTGTAAATACTAGGATTGATGATGAACAAGTACAGTACAGTAGTTATACGTACATAGTTATACATAGTTTGCATTAGTGTTTGTGTTTAATAATTGTTTATGTTTTTTAACAGCTTAAAGTGTGTTTCTCAACCAAGGAAGTGACACTGCAAGCAGCTGATTTCCATAAGTTCAATCAGTGTTATGTTTCCGGGGCTACAACATGAATTATTCCTGTATATATTTTATGACAATACAGTATTCAAAGTACAATACAGATATAATATGGTACGTTTATATTCAGTCTAATTACAGTGAAAGGAGGACTCACCTGTTGTTACATGCACAGTTGGTAATGATAAGTATTTAGAATAAAGAGACTGTATAGAAGGGGATGTCTGAAGAGTGAAATTCTCCGGAATATTGAAGTTTAATCTTATGTCCTCTTTTGCCCCTTGAATTAATCTCTCTTGCACTTCAAGTGGTCCTTTCACTTGCTCCACTAGAAATAAAAAACACAAGGTACAGAATCGTATAAAAATGGTACAGTAGTTATATGGAAGTCTTATGTCCTAAATGAAACACAGAAAGTTATGCAATGGGCTTGTTGAGCCCCTGAAAATCCTGTTCTGTAGATGCCTGGATGAGCAAAAGGTCCCTGATGACTGGAAAATGGCTTATGTGAGTCCTGTATTCAAGAAGGGCGATCGTCATTCCACTAATCATTATAGACCAGTGAGCCTGACCATCATAGTATGTAAAGTACTATTATAAGTGATGCCACCCAACCCATATACAGCATACAGCACAGTACTAAGTAGTGAGCTGAAACAAAGTGCTCAATAGCCATCTCTTTATGGAAAAAAATATTTACTATGTTCAAGTTCTTACATATGAAATCTGCTGGATTGTAGTGTGGGGCGATTGGAAGACCTAGATTGGAGAAGTGTTCAACTACTTTTCTTGTGTCACCAAAATACGCATTCTGTAAGAAAAAAAAAAAAAATAATGATACATTATCACATACTGTATATCGAACTATTCCTGATGACTATAATCATATGATAATTAATTCATCTAAAACTATGGTAGCACTTTTTCTTTTACTGTAATAAAAGCCAAATGACACATGGACAGTTGTTAATAATACGTACAGTATGCATACCTGCAAAAGCTGTAGTTGGAGACTTAATACAGTAACAATAATTATTCATAAATTTCATGAGATAAAGGACTACAGTACTATTTGATTTTCAGATTCATCATTCTTCTCTATCATCTTATCTCTATTTCACATCAACTCCTGTGTGAGGTGGATCAAGGGGTACAGAAACCACAAAGACAAGGTAAAATTGATTCATGTCAGGTAAAATGAAAACAACAAGAAAATGAAAAGACAACAGCAATTATGTCCACAAATACTTGTTCATGTCCTCAACTTCTAGATCCAATATACTTTTACTTTTACTTATATCCACTTTACCACTGATTGGCTTGTTAGCATCTTGGGTGGTCAGTCACATCTCTGTTACACAATGTTGGCAAGTACTGGGCATGTACTGGCTCCAGAAGGTATCTGTACCTGCACCAGCGTTGGTCAAGTCTGGTCTTGAATAAGCTCACACTCAGTGCTGTCACAGCACTCTGGCAGATTCACAATTTTCACTCCGAAAAAGTTTGCCCTGACAATTTTCCAAACTTGCGACTTCTTCAACCTTGAGCTGTGACCCTTAATGGAGCAGGCATCCCAGCTCCAGGTATGAACACTCAACTAAGTATAATGCCCTTTTGAGATGTTTATAAACCTCACTTAAGTCATTGGTTGCCAGCTTGAGGTGCCATGGCATTGTTCTTAAAAAATACATATCGATTTCCCATTTACATGTGATACAATATACAGTAATAAATATGAATTTTAACCATGTAGTCACAGGCAAATGCAAGATTATTCAAAGGGCGGGGCAGGGGGGAGAGAAAGGCATTCACAGATCAAGGCGGCAGTGGAATGGTTGATGCACAGTATGTGCACTTATTCACTTATCCTCTTCACCACTTGTCAGTTTACTAGCCAGTTGAGGGGTCGGTGTGTTCTCTTCTTGTGCACTGTTGGCAAGTACTGCACTGTACTGGGCATGCATGGACTCCTGAATGTACCAGAACATGTGACAGTGTTGGTCAAGTCTGGCAGGTTTATTCCAAGAGTTACTGAGCATTGCTCCATAGAAGTTAGCTCTGGTAGTTTGAAATTGTGGTAGAAATTGATAATATAAATTTAGTATACTCTCTATGTGGGATGGATATATAAGGATGGACAAACACAAAGATGGACAACTGAACAGACAGATGGCTGGGAAGACATACTGGTAGATAGATACACTCAATGGCATCTAAGCCTCTCGACACATCCACATCGCCAACCACATACATCATTTATACAAAGTGGCATGAAACTCCACTGAAAACTAATGCACAAGTTGATTTTACAAACATTTGATCACAGATAAAAACAAACACCAATCAATATACAGTACAGAGTCTCCCTATCTGTCCTGGCTGGGCACAGGGTACAGTATAAAAAATATAAAAGAAAGCTTACTTGACCATTACAGAGCAATAATAACCGATCAACCATGTAAAATATTTGTGAGGAAGGTTGGTGAAGGGTTACTATTACGGTTTTGTGCTCCTTCTCGGCAAACTGCTTGAGCGTTGTTATCAGGCTATGGGCTGTACTGGAGTCCAACCCTGATGTTGGTTCCTGTAAAGAGGGAAATGGATATTCAAATCATCTCCATACTTCTTTTTTTCAGAGTGAGTTTCCCATTTCATTGTTCTTTACGTATGATTCTCCTTCTCTATTCGTAACTTAAATTATTTCATAACTTTTTTACCTGCATATTCCTTCAACTTATAGCATATTACAGAATAGTGTTTCTTAATTATTTCCCTTATCCTCATCCCCTATACTGTATTGTACTGTATCAATATTTAAACTTTTATCTTACATCTCACAACTGAAGGACCTTTACCTTAAGGTATTGCTTTTATGGTACACTACTGGTTTATATCATTACCCTTTGTCAAAAGACTACAGTACCTACTTTTTACCAAATAAACAACATTATCTTCCTTTTCTGCACCAATTGACTATGCTTTTTTATCTCCATAAATTTGACATAGTACTTAATATTCTATTTCCTGATACAGAACATTGCAATTTTGTAAGCATTTATTTTCTTTCACAGAGTGTAATGATAGTGATTTATTATAAGGAGAGTGTAGGTCATGTGTGTAGACTAAGTCTTGTTTTAGTATACTTGGGGCAGTGTAGGCAGCACTAACCTTAGTTATCCTCCTTTCCCCAACTGTAAGGTATTACAGTACAGTATATATACTGTAGATTTAAATGAAAGACTCATATACTAACTGTCCATTCAAAGATGACTGCAGTACTAGTCACAGCTCCTTACACACCCACATTGTGATTTGTGTGTGTTGGGGTTATCTTTCTATGTTGTGTTGATAGCTGCTCCCACCCCACTAACCACCCCCATACAAGACTCAATGATCTGCCAATATAAAGCTAGGTGAACTGGGGATGCCCTGGAAGCTAACCAACTACCCTTAGAACAGGAGAGGAAGAATGAATTCACTTGGCTACCACATCCCAGTACCTGGACTGTACTATAGTGATATTCCTCTCTACTGTTGATACAAACCTTAGAATAAGAACTTACATCAAGAAGCATAATGGAGGGGTTGGTGAGCAACTCACAGGCAATGTTGGTTCTCTTCTTTTCTCCACCAGAAAGGCCCCGATTCATCACCTTACCAATAACTGCAATGAATACAGTAGATTAAGGTATATGCATTAGTTCTCTTAATGCGTAATGAAAAAAAAATATAGTACAGTATGTCAAAGTTAATCTGGATAATCAGTCATTTCATAAAATAACTAAAACTTACTTTAGGTAATCTTGTACTGTAATGATTAGGTTGGGTCAAGTCAGCTTGTTTGGTTCATTATCATGAAATTCAATTAAAATTTAATTTCCATGCATAAATTATATATTCATGTCCCATGAACACACAAACACCATGCAGTTAGTTATCGATTGGAAAAAGTGAGCTGAGTTGGAGAAATTTCATGTCATGTTTGACACTTTCTAAGTAAGATGCACCTGTACAGTCATCAAAGGATTATGACAATGATTAGTTAATACAGTATTTTGAATCAACCACATCAATACAGGTTAATCAGACTGTGGCTAAAATCAATTTTCATTCCACGTCACCATCCTCTCTCCACCACCCATACCTTGTACTATACAGCTGCCCCTCTACTACTACCACCATCACCACTGCCCCTCTAATACCACAACCACCACCACTGCCCCTCTACTGCCACAACCACCACCACTGCCCCTCTATTTCTACCACCACCACTACTGCCCCTCTACTGCCACAACCACCACTACTGCCCCTCTATTGCCACAACCACCACTACTGCCCCTCTACTGCCACAACCATCACCACTGCCCCTCTATTGCCACAACCACCACTACTGCCCCTCTACTGCCACAACCACCACCACTGCCCCTCTACTGCCACAACCACCACTACTGCCCCTCTATTGCCACAACCACCACCACTGCCCCTCTATTTCTACCACCACTACCACAGGATTCACAAATTTTCTTTACTAAAGGTCAATAGTGTGCCAACTATCTATACAGGTAGTAAGTAGTAGGCAGCTACCAAACAGGTAGGTACTACTGCCTGGGAAGATATTGGAAGCATGTGTTGTCTAATGGTAGACCCTGCTGCCATATGGCACCACAAAAATTGTAACCAAGTCCCAGGTTGCTGATCTAACTTTCTGCCTCATTTCACACAATTGCAGCGTCTCAATTGTTTCTCTTACCATTGACAACACAATATACATAATGGATCTGAATCAGTGTTTCATTTAGCCCTTGCTAGTTCATATGAGTGAAAAAAAAATTACCACCATAGTTTGATGAGCACGTTACAAAAATATCAATGTACAAAACTCAACAGTAAACTGATGTACTCACTTGTGTCTTGGCAGTGCTTGAGATCAAGAATATCAAGGATATGGTCCACTAGATTCATCTTCTCTTGATAGGTCATGCTGTCCGGCAGACGGAGAAGGGCTGTGTACTGCAGATGAAAATTGTTTCACTGTTCCAACACTTCATATACTGTATGTGTACAAGTTAAGGGAGAGTTCAAGCATATTATAGACTCATGTACTCATCTGTAATTCTGTCATGCTGAACACTTACTTTCAACTAAACACTTTAAGGTTTACGGTGTTTAACAACCTTAAGGTAACTTAATACAGAATAAATTGTGAATTTTCATAATCCAGAAAAATACAAAAATATTCTCACCACAAGTGTTTGTCTTAATGTGAGATTAGTATAGAAGATATCGTCCTGTAGAACATAACAGATCTGACGTTTGTGGCGCTTGTTAAGGGGGGACCCTCCTATAGTGATGGTGCCGCTGGTAGGACGTACTCGACCACTGATGGCGTTCAAGAGGGACGTCTTGCCCGAACCTGTGAACATTAAAACACCAATGAGACATGTCTTATTTTCTATTACTTTCAGCAAACGAAAAAGATAGTTTAGAATTTTTTCTTTTAGATTTTTCACTAAACTATGAAGCTATTGGTACTATTATCACCAAACTGCAAAAAATACGTAAGATAGTGGATAGTTTGGAAGTTTAGTGACTTTCTTGTTTAATTTTACATATCCTTTTTCTTGCTGAGACCTTGCTTGAATAGAGGACCCTAGGGAAATCCATGTCAGAGTACGGGTCATATGAAAACCATGTCAATCAAGCACCATGAGGAGACCTGGCGAGACTAGGGGTCTCTGGCAAACCGCCATAATAGGTACCAGTTAGATAATCTTTGCCAAAACAAGGGCTTTAGTTTAGAGAAAATCAGGCTAAAACCCACCCTCCAGTGTAGCAAACACCCAGCTTGGCCAACATAACGACAAGGGAAAACATAAGTGTAATTTGTAACTTATTAATAATTCAGGAGAGGTCAAAAGTCTCAACATAATCAAAAGCAAGGGAAATACGGGCGTCTCATCTACGTATATTTTGACAAGACTAGATATTGAGCAAGGAACATCGTGTTATTTTATTTATACTGTATTAGAAAGTGCTTGTCTATCCCCCCCCCCCTCCACTCCATGGTGGAAATAAAACCACCGGGCAGAAACTCTCCTCTCTCATGTTGCAAAACGTGTTACATGTTTAGCGTGAACTTGACCTCTAACTGATTGTATTGTTTTAGCCATGAACTCAAGGAATATTATCCATAAATCTGAAATATGAAACATTCGGTAGCTAAAATTTTAATAAATGGGTACAAAATATAAAGCAAATTGTTAAAGCTTCCCAAGTAGATATCTTAATTGAAAGTTGCTATTTGGTCTAATAGCTTGAAGGCAGTAGCTGAAAGAGCTTGGGAAGAAGGTTGAGAATCCATAAGTGTTAATCTGAGCTCATTGTTCAATATTTTGGCCTTGACCGACCTAACAAGGGACAAGGCTACCTACTGCTGAGGTGTGAGTGATCGAAAAAATCATGAAACAAATTTAAAGTTTTCACGGCGCCTAGAACTTAAAATAATGAAGATTTACTAACCAAAAGTCCACACTTAAAATCCTTAATTATTGAAGTGCAGTAATACATTATAGCATCCACATGCGGTGGTCCTAATGAGCAACAGAAATAATGAAAGTAAGAGCAGTTCAGGGGACGCCACTTTAATATTTTATTTGACTAGCTCAAAGGGAAGCCCGTACACAGGGGGGTAGGAATGCAATGACATAAAAGGTGCCACGAGATCCTGGGCTACCTCGTTTATCCGTGTTAAGTGTCAACGCTGGCCAACCAACTGATGAGATCAGTGTCACAGAAGAACCGCCTAACGTAGTTTATTAGTAAATTCACATGATTGGTATAAGTGAATCCGTGAGATGGATTTCTTGGGACGAGGGTGTCAGTGGCGTCAACAATAATAATTTTGATGGTGATACATTTGATGTCAATACGAATAAATAAACGAATTTAAAAGAGTATTTAATTTGACCAATTACTGTGTTTTTGTGATGTAATAATAACCAAAGAGAGTCACGAGGAGAATAATTCAGCCTAAGGAGATATCATTGAGGAAAATACCCTTCTAAAGTGTTTGAGTATACTATACTGTAAGTGAGCTTTTTAGATGGAAGGCGCTGAACGATCAGTCACCCTGTGTAGCCAGAACTTTAGAAGCATAAATTTCTCGCCATTTACAGCCCATTTTCATTAACACAGAACAAACTGCTTTCGCATATTTTCTTCTGCAGTTTGAGAGGAGAGCGTTTCAGTTGTCAACGAGGTTATCCCCTTCAACATACTAAGCTAAACTGAGGAGTTGGTTGTGTTGCAACTACCTGAACAATGAACTCGTGTCGTTATGACCGATGGGCTACAGACTATGGTGTTGCCATGAGGTGGAAGGGAAAGACACTTACTAATAATAAAGCTTTTAATATGGCTAAAAGAAACCCTTTCTCACTGACGGAGGAAGATGTAGGAGCAACACCTACCTGAAGGACCCATGATGGCCAGCACCTCCCCAGGCTTGCATGTCCCACCCACTCGCGATAGGATGGGCGTCTTGTCCAGGACCAGACTGATGTCATTGAAGGCCACGTCGAGGGGACGCCGCCTCGGCCAACCCACGGTCATCCTGAAGAAGATACAAGAGTAATTTATGTACAGTAGCTTGTTATTGTCATTAGAATAAGGATGATGCTTAAAAGATTTAGGAACACATGATAAAATTATACAAAGAATCCAATGTAAGTGTGTATGCGTAAACACGCACATATATATAGTGTAAACATACACACAAATATATATATATATATATATATATATATATATATATATATATATATATATATATATATATATATATATATATAAAACGCACTTAAATATTTTATTACCCATAAATGCGGACGATAAATGAATGGTAATAACTGCCATACAGCAGGCGCGCGCCCCCGCACTCCCGGTGGTTGTACTCCCTGGCGGCGTAGGAGGTGAGGCTGGCGGCGCCGCTCCACCAGTCAGCCGGTCAGGGTTACAGAGAACAACCTCGATATAATTGATGCTCAAATTACTGATATGAATTCTAGTTAGTTATGGAATAAATTGTAGTTGCTTTTGAGTATACTTTACAAGACTGTGTTGGCGGTGATAGGTTTTGTGCTATCAGTGATGAAGAATAGTTCATTTGATGGTTGATTCCGAAAAGCCGGTCCATATGGGAAACCACAGACACGAAACCGTGCTTACTACTCCTCAACAGGAGGCATATTGTGGTACTGTGTGTGTGTGTACGTGTGTCTTATAACAGTGTGGGACAGAGACCGGCACAAATTATTATCTATTTCACATTCCCGTATTAGAGTATAATGAAATATCTTGTTCTTTCATGGCTAAACTGCTGTGCCTCTTTTTCTTCTTTATATCTTCCCCTTTCTGTTATCCCCCCCCCCCTCACCCCTTTAGCCTATTTATATTATTATTAGTTCAGGCACGGTAGGGGTCAGGCAGGCTGGGCTCAGGGAACAGGAGTTGAGGATTCACAATGGTTTATTAAGAGTAAAAACAGTGGATTCATCCGCCACTCTCGGGTTAGTTCAGCTTAAGATTAACCACCTTAACGATGACCTAACCTAACCTAACCTAACCTAACCACCTTAACGATGACCTAACCTAACCTAACCGAACATAAACTAATCTAATTTAACAGAACATAATCTAATCTAACCTAAACTAATCGAACCTAATCTAACCTAAGCAAACTCCCATGATGCGTTGGTTAGGGTGTCTAATCCACAGGTGAAATAAACTGAGGGGTTAATCTTCGGGTGATCCATATTTCGGACAAAAAATATCCAGGTTACAGCAGGTACGAATCTCTGAAGTAATTTTGTGTTATATGAACAGAAATGCACAATGCAAGTATGGCGAGTATAATAATAATAATAATAATAATAATAATAATAATTTTACTTCGGCTTTGTTTAGCATACATTTTGGAAGCTTCATTTCGACACTATATTGTTTTGAAGCCTCAGTTATGCAGTTCTGAAAACCTACTTATGACTCGAATTTGTCTAATGGTTCAAATGTCTCAGTCTCTTGGTTCGTGTCTCGGATCTCTAAGTTAAAAAAAAAAATCTTGGTCTCTTAGTGCACAAAGCTGAGTTAGTTTGCTTAGAACGATCATTCGACTCATTTTTAATACACTCTTGTGTAGTTAATGACTGGTCTTTTGTAGGCGACTTGTTCGTGGGACAGGATAATGGTACCGTCACATCATTACCAGCGTTTACCATTTTTGTTTTTCGTTCCTCGGTAAGTGTTCAGGGCTTCGTGTAAGTAGTGTTTGGTTTTTCCTTATATGACAGTGAGTTAAAGGAGCGTGGCCCTAGAGCACAGTCCTTTACATCTATCATCAGTGTGGCCGCAAGTACAGTCCTTCACGTCTATCATCAGTGTGGCCGCAAGTACCAGTCCTTCATCTATCATCAGTGTGGCCACTGGGGTACAGTCTTCACATCTATCATCAGTGTGGCCATAGAGTACGATTCGCCATCTATCATCAGTGTGGCCATAGAGTACAGTCCTTCACATCTATCATCAGTGTGGCCATAGAGTACAGTCCTTCACATCTATCATCAGTGTGGCCACAAGTACAGTCCTTCACATCTATCATCAGTGTGGCCATAGAGTACAGTCCTTCACATCTATCATCAGTGTGGCCATAGAGTACAGTCCTTCACATCTATCATCAGTGTGGCCATGAAATTTCCTTCACATCTATCATCAGTGTGGCCGTAGGTACAGTCCTTCATCTATCATCAATTGTGGCCATGAGTGATGCAGTCCTTCATCTCATCAGTGTGACCGTAAGTGCAGTCCTTCACATCTATCATCAGTGTGGCCATAAGTGTGATCCTTCACATCTATCATCCAGTGTGGCCCATAGGTACAGTCCTTCACATCTATCATCAGTGTATGCATAGAGTACAGTCCTTCATCTATCATCAATTATTGACCGCAAATTACAGTCCTTCATCTATCATCAGTGTGACATAGTACAGTCCTTCACATCTATCTCAGTGTGGCCGCAAATTTGATCCTTCATCTATCATCAATTATTGACATAGGTACGATCCTTCATCTATCATCCAATTGGCCATAGGTACCAGTCCTTCATCTATCATCAGTGTGTGCATAGGTACAGTCCTTCACATCTATCATCAATAATTATTAGCGCAAATTTTGATCCTTCATCTATCATCCAGTGTGGCCCGCAAATTACAGTCATTCATCTATCACATCAGTGTGGCCGCCAGAGTACCAGTCCTTCATCTATCATCAGTGTGGCCATAGAGTCTGATCCTTCATCTATCACATCAGTATGGCCATGGTACAGTCCTTCATCTATCATCAGTGAGGCCATAGAGTACAGTCCTTCACATCTATCATCAGTGTGTATAGAGTACAGTCCCCATCTATCATCAGTGTATTACATAAATTCCTGATCCTTCATCTATCATCAGTGTGGCCATAGGTACAGTCCTTCACATCTATCATCAGTGTGTGCATAGGTACAGTCCTTCACATCTATCATCAGTGTGGCCGCAGGTACCAGTCCTTCACATCTTTCATCCAGTGTGGCCGCAGGTACAGTCCTTCACATGTATAATAAGTGTGGCCCCCATCATCAGCAAGACGACAGATGTTTCGCAATTGTGTGAACGACTCTTATGGTAGTCTGGTCCGCGTTCATGAAAGATCAATTCAGCTTCTCGATTAATATTGATGTATACTAAAGTAACGTTCCCAAGTCGCAAAACATTAAGAACTCTTCCATCGCGACAACTAAGGACAAGACGTACAGTTAAGACGTCCTTGATTGTGTTGACAACTGCAGGACGTGTTGATTTAAGAACAAAAGTACATCTGTTATCAATCCAATTTGAGGACTCAACCCCATACGAGGAAATGTCGATGTATTTTTCTACCTTTACAGCTTAATTCACCTCATAATTCAACACCTAACGCTACCTGGAAGTGGGTGAGGTTAGGTTAGATTAGGTTGGGTGAGGTGAGGTGAGGTGAGGTTAAGGTTAAGTTAGGTTAGGTTAGGTTAGGTTAGGTTAGGTTAGGTTAGGTTAGGTGAGGTGAGGTGGTGAGGTTAGGTTAAGTTGGGTTAGGTGAGTGAGGTGAGGTTAGGTTAGGTTAGGTTAGGTTAACATTAGTGGTTAATCTTAAAGGAAATAAGCTAGCAGGGAGGTTAATCTTCAAGTGTTGATTTTCACCTGTCATAATAACTTTTGACCTTATGATAAACACACACACACACACACACACACACACACTGGATTTTGTCTTCACTAATGCCAATTTCACATGGATCAGCAAAGGGTAAGGAGTCAGAGTGTTACATTTTACCGCTTGGCTTATTAGTGAATTTTACTGTTAGCTTTCAGGGGTCTACCCTCCCCTCCCAAAAAAATCTTTAAATTATATTTACTTTCTTCCTTCCTTTAGCCTCTTAATATATTTGGCAGTTAAAGTTTATTTAGCAAGAAACCCACTTCAAGGGAATTATGTCTCTTTTCTTCAGTAGTGTGTATCTCAATCTGTCCGTCCTTCTTATTTAGTGTAAGATCTAGTTAATGTAAATCATGAAACTGAATGGCAATACCATCATCGACATCATAATAAATGAAAACTAATCACAATTCACCTATAGGAGGGACACACACACACACACACACACACACACACACACACACACACACTGAGGCGTTTATAAAATACACGATCTTCACACAGGAGGAGGGCTCATGCACAAGGCCAGACCGAGGGGCGTATTGGCTAGATCCCTCCCTGTTGGCCTGGGACTTAATATTCATCACCAGTCAGACTTCCCTTTGGTGGTATTGAAAAAAGTGTTAACGATAATGTCAAAGTGTCTGGTGTGAGGTCAGTAGACCTCATAAGCCTAGCAATACTTATGATATAATGGAAGCAAGTCGAAAGGTCAGAATTGGGTAACGTTGTTCTTCCCTTCGTTTCTCTCTTATGGGAACGTGGAAAAAAAAAATCTGAAGCCTTAGTCAACACACATCGTCATAAACACATGATCGTAATCTAAAAATGAGAGGTTGAAAAAATTAGACTAAGACAAACAGCTCTGTGTTGATAAACCTCGTTGATTTGGTGTTGCTCGCCTCCCACGTTGGAGTTCATTATTCATGGGTAAAGATTGTGGAGGTGCCGCTGGGGCGCGTGATGTGGTGCCTTGATACACCTGCCAGCGCCCCCTCACTCCTCTATCCATCATCACAGAGAAAACAAGGTCAGTAAAATAAGAAGAAAACCTTTAGAGGTATGACAGGGGTGGGGGGGGCGGACGATACAAGGCAGGGCAAGTAATGTTATGTTCACCTACTATTTTAAAAGTGTAAAAGACAGTGAGGTTTAAGCAGCAAGGTTTTTCTCTTTCTCCCCGAAAGAGCGTAGTGCACCAGTAACAAGATAATGCTAGTATAACTTCTTTTTATCAATGTTTTATGACAGAAAATGGTGCAAATGGAACACAGACAAGTCACATTATAAGAAAAATCTGATAATGTCAAAATTTAAAAAAAAAATAAA